CTTTATTAGATCTTATCTGGTAAATAAGTACATCAAAACCAGGTGCCGACAGTTGACATTTGTTTGCTTTAGATTTTAAAGATGCTGATATAGAAACTAGTCAGCCAGCACTATGAGAGCAGTGAATAGTAATAGTTGTGTGTATGGGTTGAAGGGTCAATTTTTTAAAAAAAATAGCAGGTTGGGGAAGTGTGTATGAGTTGAAGGGTCAATTTTTTAAAAAAAATAGCAGGTTGGGGATGTTGCTGTGAACAGACTGAGGAAGTGAAAGCTAATATATGCACATATAGAAAAGCTATCCAGAAACTCTCTTAAATGGTATACATGAGGCTTTCCAAAAGTTACCTTTGCAATTTGCCAAATGATCTTGTGCCTTTATGACTTACAACCGTATAAATAAAAATAGGTGCTTTGTGGCTTTGGTTTAATTCCAATGCAGTGTCTTCATAGTTAAATGCAAATATAGATAGACCTTTCTCAAAAGTTAAGTTCTGGATTTTGTAAATGTAAGCAAAAGCTATATGTAAGGTAGTGGCAGGGAGAATTTACAGAAATATCTGGTGTTTGTATCCAAAATAAAGTTCAAACGAGACATATGCATTTCTGAGAAACTTGAAGCTACTCTACAGAAAACAAAATGAGCTGCATAAAAAAAAATAAAGCCTTTTTGACCCCTCCAAAAATCTAGCATCTTGTTAGGGAAACTTAATATAAAGTTCTTGGAGACATAAAGTCAAAATATCTGGAGAACTGTATGAAAAGTGAGCTCTAGACTACTAGGCTGTCAGTAACCATAGCGGCATATTGCATGTACATCATGGCATGCAGTTAATACATCATGATCCAGGGGTTATGTTGTTTAATGAAATATCAGCAGGTTTGTTTAGTTCTTTCTCAGGCCTCATATTGATACACTGCTAAACCTCCACAATCCTAGCCACTGTTTAATGATCATATGTTATATTGTTACATGCTTACCTTGGGAGACAAGTGTATTGTCAGTTGAGGGGCAAAAGATATGTTTCAATTTGATGTATTCATATTTCAAACTTATCTTCACTCCTGGCAGTACCTTAAATACTAGTGTCATAATTCATCCGTCTATCCTTAAGGAAAAGAGAATGTTTTTGTTCTTAATGTTTTTTTCAAGTCTTTTCCCTGCCTTTGTTCTTGGTGGAAGACTTTGGACATAATTCTTTTATATAAATCAGTTCAATTAAATACACAATTAATCTAGAACATTACACTTCTTTTAATCCCTTTTTAGTTCCTTTTATAAAACAGGTTGTAATGTTTGTAAATGTTTTACTTAAATTCCAGGCTATATCTGGAATTTTTCTCCCTCCTCCAACCCATGCACTAAAAATACTCTAATATCCTCCCTACTTTTAGGAAAAACACAGCTATTTTCCTATTTTGTGAAGGAATGAGGGCTGGTGGAATGTTTGGGAAAATTTAAACTGCCTAGGCATTTGTTTTAATATCATAGCAACAGTATGTTCAACCCATCCAGATGACGTAACAGCCTACATGCACTATATAGTCTTTCTGTCTGCAGCAATTGTAGTTTAGAATTCATCTGTATTAACATTTACTTCTCAATTAGTAAGACACAAAGCCAAGAACTATGTACCATTGTTGCTTGAGTTTTAAATAATGGTTCGTTTGTTTTTGACAGATACCATTGCATTTGTGTGCTCACCTTGTTGGAACACAATATATTTGTTTTGTGTGCTTCAGAGTTAAGTACAATATTAAGACATGAGAAGCAATGAACCCTATCTGTGCACAGATGTTGGGGGGACAGGGGCAAAATGGACCAAACCCAGGTGGTAAATATTTTTGAGCTAGTGGGGAGGGTGGGGCACAGATATTGGGGGGACAGGGACAAAATGGACCAAACACAGGTGGTAAATATTTTTGAGCTAGTGGGGAGGGTGGGCATAATTTAATTCTTTGTCTAAAATAAAATGTAAGTGCAATAAATGTGCTTTTTATTCAAAGCTGTGAACTGTTTAAAAACAAACATGCACATCATTCCTTCCTGAGCCTTGTTTTTTTCTTTCCTCTTCCCCCCCCTCCCCCAAATGATTGAAACCTGGCAGTGGCCAACCTGCATGTCTTATCTGTTACCATGATTTAATACATGCTTATCTAAATCATGCCATTAAAAATCTCATTTGGTCAGACTAACAAGATAAATCCTGCCCAAGTTTTGCATCTCTGGAGATTTCTTTGGAACTAGTGCTAGTCTGTTATGCTTCACCGGGAAAGGTGGGCTATGAACATCCCTTGAGGATGAAGCACTGGCAGGGGGTCCTGGCAATCTTTTTCATGGGGGGAGGAGGGGTACAGAGTCTACTCCAGCCATTGAATTAGCCTTGCTGAGCCCAAAGATTCCTTCCTCAGCAAATGACTGGAACCTGCTCTGGCTATGAGTCCCAGTGCTGAGCAGAGGACTTTTTCCCTAAGCAACTAGAAAGATGACTGGTAACTTCCTGCTTGAGAGCTCTGTAGTCCTTTTGTCAAAACAAACATGCAGGCTGGCCCCTGTTTTGTCCTGTTATTCCACCTTGTTTTAAAGGAATAGATCATCATTTATGCAGTAGTTGCACAGCCTGTCACTTCCTCACTCACCATCATGCTGCTTTCCCTAGGTTAGAAAAGGTGCACAGTCTTTTCTCCACAAAGGACTCAAAACCAATGTTTCTTTAAAGTTCATGAAAGCATAGCACTCAGTTGTTGGACCCCAGAAGGAAAAGTAAGGGGAGGTGGCTTTTTAAAAAAAATTAAAGATGTTGCCCGATAATACCTTATGAGCAACAGAATACAAAGTAGGAAAAGGAAATCTTTTTTATTTTTTAAACTTAGTGCAATGAAATGTACATCCCAGTTTGAACTCTGTGCTGACACACACAACATTCCTTTAAGCTGTATTTTTTACCACCAGAAGTTTTGTGAGGGTCTGAGTCTTCACAGTAGAAGGTCCAATCTAGTTAGTTAAAAAAACAACTGTGTTAGTAGATCTCTATAGCTGCTTTTAAAAACTACAATGGAGTAATTGTTTTAAAACTTGTATTTATTTTTTAATTCATAAGAAAATGTTTATTTTCAGTTTTCTGTTACAGACCATGACAACTCACTTTCTTTCCTTTCCCAAATGCCCACAGTAATTGCTACTACAAATTATTTTTCTTGTTTCCTTCCTCTCTACTTTTGTTACCCCTTCCTTTTAGTCCTTCCATTTGTACTTTGAAGTTTTTTCTCATGTAAATTTGTACAATGGGAAATATTGTCCAGTTTGGTTAGAGAGCATGGAGACTTAAAGAAAACATTAAAAATTTGATAGCTAAAATTGATTGAAGAAACCTATTTCTGTGTAAAGTTATTTAAGAACTCTGTATTATATAAAAGGCAAAAAGTTCTATGTACTTGATGTGAATATGAGATTACTGCTATAATAAAGATTGACTGCATGGAGAACCATCTGAGATGACATTTATTTTTAATGGTGCAATCCCCAAGACATCTTTCCATTAGCGCTTTAACAAAGAGTAGCTTGAATATTGTAAAGTCTCAGAGGGGTAGCCGTGTTAGGAAGCGCTTTAACAAAGAATAGCTTGGATATTGTAAAGTCTCAGAGGGGTAGCCGTGTTAGTCTGTAACTTTAAAAACAAGTAGTCCTGTGGCATCTTTGAGACTAACAAAAATGCATCATGAGCTTTTATGGGTAAAACCCACTTTATCAGATGAATTGGAGTGGAAATAGCAGAAACCAAGATGTTTGTGTGTATATAGTAGTAGAAGAAATACCTGACAATTGTAGGACCCATGATAATTAAGTGGGCTGGCTGAATCCAATTCATAGCTTTTGCATATGTTAAAGGCAGGAGCCAATTTCTATTTATAAATAAAAATCTTGGATTCTGTTATTTCCATTACTATTCATTTGATGAAGTAGGTTTTACCTATAAATGCTCATGATGTTATTCTGGATATTGTATAATACTTAAATTTGATAATTAGCTCACAAGAGTGGGAGTTAGAAGAACCCAACTTTACCTTGGGCCAAGGGGCTGTTTCTCCCTCCTGTTTACTGACCTCTGCTAGAGCAAATTTTTGTCCTTGCTCCAAGAAGCTTAGGTTAGACTCTCCATACTGGCTTTGAGGAAAGCAAAATCAAGGATTAAGAACATATTAGCTTGTTTTTACATAAGTGCTTTTCATTGATGTATCTCAAAGTGCTTCATCTTTATCCTCAGACCACCACTGGGTGGTAGTGAAGTATTAACACGTTAAAGCTAGGGAAATGAGGCACACAGAGGCTAAATGATTTTATCAAGGTCACACTGGAAGACTAGTGAAGCAGGAAATTGAATCTTGGTCTCACATTGTCTAGGGTAGTGCCCAGACTTATTCTGTGTGAGAGGGGTAACATCCCCTCTTGCCTGCAGCAGAAAATTGCTATTTTCAGTTAAGACTTATTCTGTGTGTGAGAGGGCTAACACCATCCCCTCTTGCCTGCAGCAGAAAATTGCTATAAGCTTGCTTTGCATTTTTCTAATTGTCAGAATTTTTTTATTGTTTAAATAGCTAACTTATCGTGAAAAGCTTTTCCTATTTTAAAATATTCATTAGGTGCTGGTTTTAGATTAACTTCAGCACAGTCCATTTTGGAATTATAATTACTACTAGTATTGAAATCTGATTGGCTGTTTTTTACTTCAGATTCCCCTTCCCTCCCCTTGCAACTTTCCTAATTAGATTACTAATATTAAAAGCTTTGTCTCCCCTACATGAAGTCACTTTCTGAACATGGTTTTGTCGGTCATTACACTTGCTGCTGAATAGTATTCATCACCTATTCAGCTGCCACCACAAGTCATTAGTGTAGCACAGACCAACTGAAAGTAAACTTGTGAAGCACCTGTATGAGCATGTTTGGCAGGAAAGTATATAGAAGAGACCTTAATCAACTGCTCTTTCTTCTCCCCATACAGGGATGATTATTCAGCAAAAAGCTTCCATGGTACAGTGATTTAGTTTACAAAAGAATCTTAAAAGCATGAGCTTGTAACTTTTGAGATTTTTATTTACAGTGTGGTTTTACCAAAACACAATAATGCAAGAGCCAAAGCCTCAACTTCTTCAGAGATCCCACCACAGGACCTGCAAATGACAGATGGAAAGAACATTAAGGAACACTCAGTTTGTCAGAGTCCCTTCCTATATCAGTGCAAGCCTTGGACAATAAAATTGAAACCATCCTCTTAAGCCGCCTTTGGCAGGAACCTATAACATTCTAGTGCAAAAAGCATCTACATTAGCAGTTTGTTTTTAAAGACCTCTTTAAATGCCAAACCATCCTCTTAAGCCACCTTTGGCAGGAACCTATAACTTTCTAGTGCAAAAAGCATCTACATTAGTAGTTTGTTTTTAAAGACCTCTTTAAATGCAATAATTTGAAATCCCACTGCAAATGAAATAAGTATGTCTTTCATCCAGTCTTAATGGAAACAAGGGCTTGACAGCAAATACTTTCACCTTCCTGATACTTGATGTAGAAGGGAAAGAAACTGAGTTGGTTTAAGAGGTGTGTGGAAATAAATATCTCAATTATACTTTTAAAAGGGATATCTTTCAATTGATCAGTAGTTCCTAGCATTAGTATAGTCAGCAATCAAGTGCCCACGCAGAGATTTAACAGATGTCAGCTTACATCCCAGACAAATCCCGAAAAGGAATTCAACTAAACTTTGGAGCACAGTTCTGTTAGGATTAAACTAGTTTTTGGGGGCCTATGTACATTAGAAATGGGATCTAGAGCCTTTCAGCTCTACTGCATTGGCATGAATCCAAAATTGGTGGCTACCTGTTGTTCCAGCTGGAGAACCAGGAAAGGTATAGTAAGGCACGGCATCAGGAAAGTTATAAAAATGGAGAAATCAATGCAAAAAGCTTTAGTTTATTCTTGAACTTATTAAAAAAACATGGTGAACAATGGCAGAACAATCAAAGTTTATCCCACCACATGAAGTAGATAATGGCTATCAAAAAACTACTAACATGGTGAACAATGAAGTAGATAATGGCTATCAAAAAACTACTACATGACTTAGTGGCAGGATAAGCAAATTGGCAGGGATTTAAAACAGTACTTCTGTCCAGTAAAGCACCATGTCCTCAAGCAAGAGTCTCAGCACACTCTAAGATGACTTAAGTCCCAGTCATTAGGGATCAATGCAACCAGCAAAGCTAGGGGGAAAAAATCAGGGAAAAAAAACCTGCTCCATTCTGTGAATCAGTACAGGTTGAAACTATCTGGTCTGGCCTTGTTGGGACTTGACCAGTCCTTAACCAGGGAATTTGCCAGACTTGAGGTCAATTCTGGCCTGCTGTTTCTGGCCTCCAAAGCACCATGTCTCCGCTGCCAATTCCTGGCCTGCCAGTGCTCCATTCTCCCAGCACCCAACCCACTGGGGCTCCGCTATTCTCTAGTCTGGCTACACTCCTGGTCCCAGCCCACCATTTTTTCCTCCATAAATGCTCCAACCCTGGAGCATGCATGGGGTCACCAATGATGCCAGCCAAGGTGTTGCCAGAGTAGGGAAGTCCAGATTAGAGACTGAACGTGTACATTAACAGAGGCAAGGGGCTCTGAAGTCTGCCAATAAATCTTACTGGTAGATATCCCTTTTCACAGAACTTATCAACTGTGCTATGGGGGAATTCTCTTCAGTGTTCACTGTATATTTATGTCAATTCAGGGATTTGAAGTTGGACATTAAGACACATTCCATTCATTCTAAAAACTGTCTAAAAAAGGAAAGTTTCAAGGGAACCTACACATTGGTAGCTGGAGCTATATATCTATTCTTCATCAGGAGGGATCCCCAATTCCTCATCTGTCCATTTTGAGGCATCTGGGTAAGGAAAGTGACCCTTGGAGCAAACAAAAAACATTCAAGTAATAGTTAGTGAACATTTCATTTTCTAGAGCAGCTCCCAAACTACAAAATGGTGCTCTACAAAATGTCATACCCTCTACAATGTGTCATGCTGGGTGGAAGACTATCTTGAAAAGCAAAATTCTATATGGCATGACCTTATGTGTACAGTGTGAGAAAGGTAATGCAGCATGGATGAGGCCATTTCAGGAGAAAGACATTGTACTGAGGCTTAAACTGCCTTTTCTTAGGTTATGAAAGTGGGATCCACAGATGATTAGACACCTAAATTCCAGTTTTTGGCACCACTGTAATCCACAAAACTGCTGCCAAACCCTGTGGTCACCTTGCTTGCCACCTAAGTTTTCAGGTTAAAAGTTTTCTGCCTCTGGGCAGTCCACTGCTGCCTTGTGCTAGGAGTCTGGACACCTGTCTCCCACAGTGATTCACAATCCAGGGTAAGATAGGCACACAGACATGTCACATGCTGGACCCAATCTAGCAGACCATGAAGAGTACCAAATTCCTGGATGGAGGAAGAAGAACTGAAGGTGGTAATGCATACCTCCCCTTTTAGAACAATCACTTGGGATATGGTGGGGTCAGCATCTGAGCTCCTGGACTCGGCATGAGTTGGAACTGAGCCTGGCTGCATGACTGCCTGGCTCCTAATACACTTCAATTGCAGAGCTGCAGTAGGGGTAGGTCCCAGACTCTGCGCAAGCAGGACTGAGCCAGGCTGCTGGCCAGCCTGCTAAAAAATTGACTGGCTAGGGGAGGGGGAATGTGTATAATCTACAGCATTAACTCATAAGCTTTTGCTTATCAGTTAATTGGTTAATCGATTACACTATTACATCCCTATACAGGAGGTCTGACTAGATGATCATACTGGACCCTTTCAGCCTTCGAATCCAGGACCATGAATATATCATTCTTTATCCACGATGGCATAGCTTCAAGCTGGGTCTGCCACATCCCAAATGAGTACTCTAACTACTGGTTTCAATAACTAGGGCTGCTACCTCCTCTTTTGGGTCATCTTGTGTGGAGTGAGGCAGATGCATCACTCACACCCACAAGAAGCAGGTTAGTCACCTAAGTCCCTAGACTCCAGAAGAGGTTCCCATTCATAGATCACTAAGCACATAGACGGTACGTCTAGACTACATGCCTCTGGCGACAGAGGCGTGTAGATTAGGCTACCGGACATAGTAAAATGAAGCGGCGATTATTTAAATCGCTGCTTCATTTTACTATGTCCGGTAGCCTAATCTACACGCCTCTGTCGCCAGAGGCATGTAGATTAGGCTACCGGACATAGTAAAATGAAGCGGCGATTATTTAAATCGCTGCTTCATTTTACTATGTCCGGTAGCCTAATCTACACGCCTCTGTCGCCAGAGGCATGTAGATTAGGCTACCGGACATAGTAAAATGAAGCGGCGATTATTTAAATCGCTGCTTCATTTTACTATGTCCGGTAGCCTAATCTACACGCCTCTGTCGCCAGAGGCATGTAGATTAGGCTACCGGACATAGTAAAATGAAGCGGCGATTATTTAAATCGCTGCTTCATTTTACTATGTCCGGTAGCCTAATCTACACGCCTCTGTCGCCAGAGGCATGTAGATTAGGCTACCGGACATAGTAAAATGAAGCGGCGATTATTTAAATCGCTGCTTCATTTTACTATGTCCTGTAGCCTAATCTACATTCCTCGGTCGCCAGAAGCACATAGTCTAGACGTACCCATAGATTCTTCCCTGCAGCAAGATCAGTCTGGAACCTATGTAAGGGGTGGGACTTAACATACTACCCTCCACACAAGCTAGCAGCTTCCATTGGCTAATTTAGACCTCATCCACACTATGGGGTTAAGCCAGCCTAAGTTATACAACTCACGTAGCTGGAGTAAACAGAGCTCAGGTTGACTAATTGCAATGTGTACTCCACCTAACGAGAGGCAAAAGGTAAGTTGACAGGAGAGCAATCTGTGGTTGATTTAGAGTGTCTTCATTAGACTAAAGTGACCCCCAATGGATCAAATTGCTGCAGTGCACCCTCTCCCTCCTCCCATGTAAACATACCCTCAAACAACTTAGCATGTTTGCTTTTGCAGACAGTTGCCTATTCATTGTTCTGGGGGCAAAGGTGCTTAATTCAGGCTTTGTGACTGTACAGGCTGTTCCTATGATTTTCTAGGCACCCCTAATCCCTCCTTATTGGACAGGCAAGCCCACCCATGAGCAGCGATTGTTTTTGTTCAGCATTTGCACCATGCCTAGCACAGTGGGGTCCCCCTTTGGGCCTCCTCCATGCTACTTATGGTTTTCCATACTCCCTTATTACAAGGGATCTCTCATGTTGTCATCTCTCTACAATGAGGTCAGGAGTACACATGTGAAGGACTAGTCAACTACAGTAATTCCACATTTAACACATGCTCGCTTAACACGTTTTCGCGATAGCATGATTTTTTTTTAGGGAACCTTTTTTGAATTAAACGACCGTCCCCGGAATAACACGATTTCCCCAGCCGGCCCGTTGCTGGTGGCTGCACAGGGCTTCCCCTGCCTCCCTGCAAAAAGATGGAGGGTTCGCCCCACACCGCGCCGTTCCCCGCTGACCCTCTCTGCCCTCCGCCGGACGAGTGCGGTCCAGCAGACCCATCACAGAGGTATAATCCCCTTACTTTCTCCTCCCCTTCCCTTTCTCGGCCCGTGGGACTCTGTGCTGTTCCCTGGCAATCCCCCCTCACTGGACACAGTGCAGGTCCCGGCAGACCTGTCACAGAGGCATACTCCCAACCCAATCCTCCTCCCCTTCCCTTTCCCAGAGCCAAACACCTCCCTCCCTACTGTAACCCAGTCCCCTTTTCCCCCTAACCTTATGTCCTGGTCCCAACAGCCACCACCGCTTGAAACACAACCCCCACCTTTTCCATTATTTTCAGTGGGAAAACTGACCCCGCATAACACGTTTTCACTTAACACGATCATTTTCTGAAACATATCTATAGTGTTAAATGAGGAATTACTGTTGCTCCCCCCCTTGCTGCCTCTAACAGAAAAGGGGAGTGGGGGGGGGGGAGGGAAGAGTACTTCAAAGTGGCAGCACCGCATGCAGCCTGGGGCCAGCTATGGTCTCCCCAAGATGCACACAGCATTTCAAAGTGGCCGTGCTGCATGGAGCCCGGGATCAGTTAAGGACGCCCACACTGTCCCCAGG